TTACAAATACACGAGAAGCTTTACAAAATGCACAGGCATGGAATTTTAATGAAAATGAATCTGATTCTGATTCTGATGAAAATTCTCCAGACTTATATAATTCTGATGATAATATAGGAACAATAGCTGAATTAGCCGATGCTATAGACCGATCTCTAAATGATACAGCAATATGTAGAACTGTTTTAACAAATCAAATTAAAAGATCAACAAGAGCAATTCGACATAAATATACTAACCTGCAACAAGATCTGGTGAATAAACGATGGAATCGTGATATATACAGGCAGGAGCGAGACCAGGCATTGCTTGAACTTTATCAGTTACAGACTAATGCTCAGAATCAAGTAAACAGAATGATAAATAATATAACAATAAAGCAAACCCGTATTGGTACATTGCTATGTGAAAATTTTGCTTTCTAGTTATTGTATTAGTGAAATGTCCGCTACCTACAACGATGTAAAGCCGATAAAGCTTTGCTAGAATATAATCAAGATAGGTTATATGAATGATGTAAGAAGTAGAAAAATAAGACTCATGGAGAGCACCAAAATATTTTAATTTTAAATCAACAAATTTTTGCACTACAGAATAATCTACCTAATATACAACAAATAGGAATAGCAGGAATACCGCAACCATTTTTTGACTGGGGTGAAGATATACCAGATTTTCTTGCAAAACTTAGATTATATTTGCAAAACCAAGGAGTAAATCCAGCAGATAATGTGGGAGGTCCACCAACAGGAAGAGAAGTAGCTATAGGATATTTAAGAGGATGTATGAAAGGAAGAGCTTTAGAATGGTTTGACAAAGAGATTACTACAAAACAGAATTGGGAATTAGCAAACTTACTTGATAATACAAGGCAGGCCAACTTAGTAGCTATAAACGGGAGAACAACAGTTCAAATAGGAAATCAAGCATTGAATGAGGCACTTGGCCAATCTGGTAATGCAATAGTCAAATTAAGGGTCCTTGGGATGAAGATTGGCGTATAGCAGGTGGTCATCCTACTAACATTGCTGTTAATGCACCAAATGCTAATAATGGTACTACAGTAGTTGTAGCTAGTATTCGTTTCGGTCAAGCCATATAGTGGCTAAAAACACATTTTCTTACAGTGGAAGAGAAGCTTTGGGATTTGCAATATGGAACAATTAGAAAAGGAAATATAACTATAGATGAATTATATAGAAAATTGTTATGAATAGGTAGACGAGCTAACTATAGGCCCGAAGAATTATGTAATAAGTTCTTGGATGCCCTTCCTATTCCATGGCTTGAAAAAGCTGAGGATATCGGTAAACATTTGCCATTAGATGAATTAGCTAAAAAGCTTTATAAGATAGAGTTACGATGAATTGCTAGACATAAAAGAGATAGAATATCTAATCCACTAGTATTTCAACAAGCATCTCGAGAAATATATAAACTCTTACCCATTTCAGCTCCTCAACAGCAAGGAATTTCTTTAGAAGATATGCAAAAAGCAATCCAGAATGCACTAGTACAACAAAAAACTAAAAACCAGACATTAGTAAAGAAAGTTACAGAATTAGAATCTCAAATAGCTAAGCAAACTGCTCCCCAAACTGTTGAACCAGTTAGACAGCCAAGAGGTCCACCATCTTCATTACAGACAGAAGAAGGTATGGAAAATTATTGCTTATCACAATTTTTAAATAATTTAGGTATATTTAGTACAGAAGATTTAGAGAGAAATTATCCTATAAAACCTTTTCAAAGATCTCATCCACAGCGAAGCAATGTCTCTGCTAGAATTAATAGAGTAGAGGAGGGGATAAATAAAACTCGTAATGCAGTAAATCAATTAACTAATCAATTTCAAAAACTAAATATACGTAAATGTGATATTTGTGAAGAGACGGGCCATAGCAAAAGGAATTGTTCAAATAGACCAATAGCTCAGTCTAATTTTATTTGGTCTTATTTTACGCTATTTAAACCAATAGTCTCTCAATGTACACCCCCCCGATTCAGATGAGGAAAATAGAGATTATAATGAGGAAGAGAATGGGTAGTATGATCTATCGGAAAAAAAAAACAGGTAATAGTGAATAATAACTAGCCAAAAACATATAATGAATTATTTTTGAAACTTTTGCCAGCCATGCAAAAAATGTGTTAGTCTTATATAGTCTGGGAAAAAGAATCAAAATCAGATGAGTGGTTTTCATCATTACAATACCTGCATTGTAATATAAATGATTTATTGATCACTAATTCTTTTTTAGATAGAGCAAGTGAATTCGGAGGAGTGAATGATGCAACAATTAATGCCCTGGGGTGGAAAGCTGTCAAGCCATCTGACTTTGCTATAAAGGGTAATTCCAAACATATAACCGAATCATTGGGATGGTATACAGATGTGCCAATTAGTGTAAAGGACAAGGATGGAAAGATTGTTACAGCTACTGGAAATTTTGCTCGTATTAATAATGGGGAACCCAAATCAATATTATGTTTAGGTATGACATGGATTCAAAAAGTTCAAGGTGTTCTTGATCCAAATAAAAATCAATTCCAAATGAAGTTACATAGAAAGACTTACATTATCCTAACTTTTAGCAAGACTCCAGAAATAAACGATCCGCCAAAAGAGGAGCAGAAGGTAGTCCCTTGGGAATCCTCCCCGAATGATTTAGCTCAAATTTCCTCTAGCCTGACTAGTGAGAATAATTTAAAAAAAAGTGTGAAGAGCTTGAAAAGCAATTCATAAAAACTGAAGAATGGCTTGATATGGCTCTAAATGCAGGTAAAGTTCTTGCAGAAAGATGTTCTCAACTTACTGAGACAAATATAGAAGAATAGGAGCTAATCTTTTAGTATCATTCATTAATTTTTCAAGATCAGATTCCCGTCTAAATGTATCATCTTTGGAAGAATTGGTTATTCTAATTTTTTTCACTAGAGAAGATTCACCCTTTGCCTTCATACTAATCTTTTGTTTTCGACTAACCTTATCTTTTCATTTACTAGTTACTGTATTCAGCCTTATATGAGAATTTGCACCATCTTTATCATCTCCAGGATGCTCTATATGAATGATCTCATCTTCTTGTATATTAGTAGAAGAGGTATCATGCTCAGTACTTACCAGCTGTTAGTTATTTTCTGAAATCCGATCAGAGATGCTAACAGATTCTAAGATTTTATGCCACTCCTCAGTCGGTTCAGGAGGCCTTTAATTATCAATGATTTTTTGATATGTCATTGCCTCTATATGATGTTTTTTACATATAACACGTCGAGTATTTGGAATATTATTCTGAGCATTTCTGATTTCTTCAATAGCTTTAGGTGACAAACGGGTGGTATCTGATCTAAGAAATTTATGAGTATGGGTTGATAGTTTTTTACTCATAATTTGTTAATAATAAATTTACATGATACCAATAAAAAACTTGTAAAAAATTTATTCGCAACCTATTTGGCA